ATTAAATATCATATACTCTATAGAGTTTAAGTTGTTACACAAAACATGTGTGATATTTAGGAAATTCTATTCATTCAGATTTTAAAATTCAATCTATCATAACTGGATGAAAACCCTACAGAGTGCAATGCAATGTCCTGGTCCTGATAAAAACTGAAATTAGGTTGAGAGCAGGTGGTGATCCCACCCACGCACCCTCCACCCAACACACACACTTGCAGCACAGAGAGAGTTCAGTCCTGGTGGGAGGTCTGAGGTCTGGCCCTCCACATTCCACAGACAAGTGTCTAGCACCTGCTAGGCCTCAGTCAGCCTTTACTGGCCAGCAGATTAGGATGGGCAGACACACTCCAAATCCATTAATTTACAGTCTGTGAATGTGTGTGTGTGTGAGTGGTGGGGTGGGATGGAACAATTCAAATCCATTTTGATAAGGATGTTACTCTGCAATAAACTGAACTATGTACAGTAGTCACAAAACCAGAAGAAGAAAAGGAACTACGTCTGGCATTAAAACTAAGTACAAAACAATATAAATGTCTCAAAATGAACCTACGGTCTAGTAGAGGGGGATCCATACTGTTTATCAGTGACTAACTGAGTCCAGATATCAATGTAGAATAAAACACACAAACACACACACACAGTATACAGAAGTACATGTACATCCATATAAATGCACACACACTTGTCTGACAGGTGCACATGTCAGTGGTTCGTTCAACCTGGATCAGAGCATTTGGTCTCACTCTGTAGCAGCCAGGCCCCTAGGGTGTGTGTGTGTGTGTGTGTAAACCAAGGGCCCAATGCGCAGTACCCAGACACTACCCATATTGTCTTCTTCAGTGGAGCTAGCAAAAAGGAAGCTGATTTACAGAGCTGTCTGGCACTGGAGCACACGGATGCATGACTGACTCAGCCTAATGGAGTTTTCAGCTTTGGATTTACACTTCTCCATCTATGAGAGGAGCTGAGCCGCACATAAGCACAATGTTGCTGCTACAGGCCTGTGTGGCAGCTAGCCAGCCTCACCTCAAACCCTTCTGATGCCATGTTTGTTCCACAGATTGTTGTCAACAGATCTGATGTCTAGAGTTTGGACAATTTTTACAACTGGACAAGTATTTGTCCATTACAAATACTTACAATGGATAAATCACTGTAACCAAAAACTGTCCGTTTCCGTCCTGACAAATCAAAGGTTATAATAGAGAGTTCAGACAGAGTAGAAGTGACATGCTTGTCTCAGCACGTCCCAGGCCGCCCTCACCCTCCGCTGAATTAACCATCATTACACTGTGAATCGGAGCTGATAATGCTGGGAATCCAACATTAAAGTGTTAACTGGACCTTAACAGGTTTTGTCTGTGTCGGATCGCTGGACGACCATCAGGGCAGGCCTGTGCATCTGCGTGCAGCTGCCCCCAAACGCTGGCTTCAACAAATTACCCATTTCACAGCTCACAAAGCATTTATCCGCCAAACTATGTGAACAAATCCATTCCTGTGCTTCTCGAAGGACACCCACTCACATGTGAATGGAATATTTCTATCAGTGGTCTTAAAACCAGGGACCCAGTTCTAAAAAGATGAACCTTTTGACCAAACTGCCTCAGGAACAGAGGAGGCCCTGAAACTAAAACAAATGTCTGTTTGCCTTTTCACAGGGCTGTCTTTAACAACAGTTCCAAGGTAGCAAGTGTAATAACTTGTAATCATGTGTGGGTAAAACATGCCAATGTAACTGGTACTGTTTGCCTGAGGCAGAGGAGGCGCCCCAAATGAACAGCTGACCTTTGATTGCTGGTTTGTTGTGTGGCAAACTGACAAATGATTTAGCTGGAATGTTAGCTGTACTTCATGTCACAGACCTTAGCTCCTGTGTACGTACAGGAAAAATGTTACCCATCCATTAAGTCAGCAAGGCAAAGACTCAAGGACCAGCCTTCAACTGTACGAGAGCAAACACAGGTACCGGCTTGGATCCAAACTTCCTTTAGTATTTTCTCATTTTGGAACAATTGTCAGGGAGCCATGAACCATGCGTGGCAAAAAAAAAAAAAAAACAGCTGGGTGTAATAGCTCCCATTTGGTCCAATATCAACTGCTGGCAGTGGCTAAGAAACAAAATATAAACTCACAAACTGATTTCTTAATCCACTTACATTTCTTTGGATTCTACAAGCCTATTAGGCCATAGAGCTGTGGCGAATCATGCACTAAGTGTTGAAAGCACCTCCTGTGGGAGCCCGAACAGAAGCAAACAACTGTGGCACAATTGTCTTCTGAACGCAACACTATATAATGTTCGATCAACTCATGCTTAATATAAACCAGAGAAAGAAAGCAAACTTGAGAGTGAAGGCACACCACAGATTTCTTCATCACCTATATCCACAGCACTAAGCTTGGATTTGTCTACGGGGCTCTTTCTACAACATATATCAGGAAAAAAAAAGAGACCAAGGGAGACAGAGAGAGACAGTGAAGGCTCAAGGTCTCTCCCTATAATTACAGAGATAGCACAGTTGCACTCCCTCCCCAGTGGAGCCTCCGAGGCGTCACTCCCCGGCCCTTTATATTGTATAAAGACTGGTCTATCAGCCCGGGAACGGCATCATTGCTTGTAAATTAATTTGGGGTTCCTGTCAGTCGGGACCCTCTCCTCTCTTATCTGGCAGTGTAATATGGGAAGCTGAGAGGCTGGGGAGATACTGCTGAGAGCACCAGAGGAAAAGAGGGGATGTGGGTGGGGGTGGGGGTATTAAAGAGAAGAGAGATAGACAAGAGGAAAGAGAGAGGCAGGGACAAAACAAGAAAGGCGAGCACTGGATGTTGAGAGCAAATTTGAGGAAGGACCTGACTCGGTGATAAGTGAATATGGTCTGGCATCCTATTTCGCCCTGCACCTCCCCTCCTCACACACACACACACACACATACACAAGCTATTTGTCATCCAGACTGGACTTCAACTATCAGCACTATCTGTCCCTGTGTCATAGCCAGCGGATACATTTTCTCCCAGCAGTCCTTGTTTAAATCCACCCCGCCCCCCCATTACAAGAGGTCCAGCCCTGTCATGATCACATGTGCTCAACACATAATGCTCATATACACACCTCTGACCTCTGCACTTGTTTCTAATTAACCCCTCACCTACTTTATGTAGCCTCAATTCCCTAATGGCAATAAATAGGCCTCACTACAATCCCATTAGCAGCTGGAGCTGTGAGGGTGAATTAGGATGGACACTAACAAAATACTGGATCAGTTCATTCACTCACTATATGAGTACCGTTACATAAACGGACACTGTGCACTGTTCTTATGGCCCAGACTGTGTTGGTACTGTAGCTTGGTGCTTGGACTGAAATCATTTGTAGCTGCAGAACAAAGATGAGGCAAAATGAAAAAATGCCTTCAAAATAACAGAGATGTGTTGTATTTTAGAGGATTTTTTTTCGGGTTGCACTGTTTTTTATACTGATGTCAACTGAGATTGTTGTGCATCAATAACTGACAGGCAGGTTTAAGAAAAATTGTATTTCCCTTTCATCCCTCCATATTTTTACTTCACTACATTTCAGAGGGACATACATACTAGACTTTTTACTCAACTGCATTTATTTTACAGCTATAGGTCTATATTATATTGGTTTAAATAATAGAATGAATTGTTATAAATTATTATGCCCAATCAGCTTGACAACAATAAAATGCTGAGTACGTGTTCCTGCATAAATAATATACTAATATCTCCACTGAAGCACAAGTCAGTTATGCTGCTAACACTTTTGTAAATGGAGGCAGATTCTAAGTACATGACTTTTACTTGAAATATAGTATTTTTATTCAACGCTATTACTCTTTTACTTAAGTAAAATATCAATACTGCCAATTACAAGGGAGAAGATTTGGGCCATGAAATACTAACAACAAATATAATGCAACCAACAGCCTTTAGTAAAGTCTGTACTAAAAGCAACTTGAATATAATTTGCTTCCAAAATTACAAAAGCTGGTAGTTCCAGTACACATAGTAGAAAGGCTAATCATTTACTGCAAAACTGTGTGCTTCTGTTAACGCATACGATGATACAGTAGGGGAGAACGTCATTGTGTTATTGTGAGGTTAAAAGCCTTTGTTTGAAACAGAAAATTGTGAGTAATTAACATTCATGTTTATGCATGTAAACATTTTTCCCGCTCTGCATTTCCCTATTAAACAAAAATATCTTCTTTTTCACATGGAGAACCACGGCTGCCATAGCAAGAAAAGCATCCTATTATTTCACAAACAAGCCTGGAATATGTGTATACTACACATTCAGATATTTGGCAGAAATCCAAAATGGCAACACAACACAGGCTATTTAAGCAAAAGAACAATAAGACATGCATCATCTATTGTGGTCCAGTCTGCAAGCTGGGAACTGAATCCACAAGAAAAATTGGTTCATACCCAGATGTTTGGAACGCGGAGGTAAACAGGACTGTTGTAGCACCTAGCTGTATTTCCTGCATACTGATGTACTATATTCTTTTAGGTTTATTATTGTGTAGTTTCTTGGCATAGAGGATCAAGAGACTGCAAATAATAAAATACTGAAATGATGAAAATGCTTCCCAAAATTTCTCCCAGCTGTGGCATTTTTAAAAACATTTTTATTTATAATCTAATGGGCTCTTGTGGTTACTGTAAAATCTGTTAGAAATGACAGGAAATAAAATGGAATAAAACGAGTTTACAATAGACAACTATGCAAGGTATAAAATAAATGTTTTGGTTTTGTTTTGTTTTCCTTTGGAATTTTGCTGGGCCAGCAGACTGGAAAACACAGATGCATGTCTTTGTATCTACTGCCACCTGGTGGTTTTTGGCGCCACTGCCTTTGAATAAACAATGGCAGTTTTTTTTTTTCTTAGCAAACAAAAACAATGAATAGACGAAAATTTTAAATGGATAGCATTGCCTTTTTGTCTGTCAATCTACATTTAATAACCTATAATGAAAAAAAACTGAAATCATAATAAAGTGTGCAAAAGGGGCAGAGGTCTGAAGCTTTCTGAAAAAACTATACAGTCCTACATATTCACAGATTTAATAGTTCATATAAAAGTATTAATGTATGTCTCAAATACATGGCCTAGACTAATTAGATGCTTGGTATAAAAAATAGTCAGCAATGCCTTTCAGTAACTTCTTTAAGCCATTGATTCACTACAGTACTACAAAACAAAAACGAACTTGACTACACAATCAACAGGTTAGCCTGCGTACTTTTTGAATTTAGAACATTCAGGGGGGTTGGATACAACTTTTCCAGCTTCAGTAGCCTCAGTAAGAGTGTTTAACAACTGACATATTGCTGTGGCAGAGAGCAGCGTTGCAATGGGTCAGCATTATGGCAGCGATGCACTTTAATTCAACATTATGTTGTAACAGCATTTAGAGCCATATTCATGTACATTACAGCCTCTCTCTTTATAGGTATCCATAACAGATCAGACATAGCAATTGAAAATGGTCTCCATGTATTTGTCTTGCAGGAACAGTCCATCCCATTTTTGTCTTTTCCTCTGGGTCCACTGTACACGCTCTATGCAAATGAGTCACAGAGTCTAGACACATTGTATTTGACAGCTAACCTCACAGTTAATGGTACAGTAGCCCACAAATGGCTAATGGAATGTTTTACATTGATTATCTCAAAACAAACAAAATCCAAGCTGCAAATTGTGAAATTAATTAACATATAACTGCCTTTTTTCCAGTTAGCTTTATTCACTGAGATCTTTTCCTCACAGTGTATTTTCAGACTATTTCACTCTAGTGTCTAGACAGCAAAAGGATATGACTGTACTGGAAGGAACAGGATTGTGGAGCCCCCAGTGGCCAGTGCTGCCTGCAGCATTTTGAGCTCCAGGATGGCACTGAGCAGGGAGACCTCTTGGTTCAGATTCACCATCATCAGAATTAATTGAAATTTAGCAACATATTAGGCCTATATGTTGCTCAACTACTGTTGTGGCCCTCAGTGCTGCATCGATCCATTCTATAATGCCAGTTAGGGATAGAAAGATACTCCTAAATGTGCTCATTGGTTTTCTCTTTACATCCCTTAGTGAGTCTTAAGTCTTTGTCCATTTGCTCCCCCTGTAGGAGACTGACCTCCCCCAGAGTGGCTCTTGGCCAATCTCTGAGACTTCACAGCTCGTCCTCCTTCTGTTGCAGGATCGAGGTGAACTCGGCCTCCTGACACTGATGCTCCCACTCATACAGATCTGTGCCCTGCAGCACAAGTAAAGAAGATGCATGGGTCAGTGTTTATTAACACTCTATACAAACTGAGTGACTGAGGATACAGGTGCACTAAGAATAGATGTGAAAAGTCAACATACACACCCAAGATTTTGTAAAAATTGTATGTTAATTCTGTTCTTTCTAGCAACAGGGGTTTCATTACCTGTGCTAGAGGACAGGGTGTGGGAGGCAACTGCACCTCCAGGTGCAGCTGAACAGTGGGTGTGTTAAGAGCTCCACCCAACACTGCCTGAAAAAGCTTCCGCCGAGCAACACATGTGTCTGTGAGGAACTTGGTGAACTCCAGTTGGTGGAAAAGGGTAAGATTTGGTAAACACTCAGACAGTGCATCTCTCAGCAAGGACAGGAGTTTGGGTACATCGAGAGCTGATAGATAGACAACAGTAAAGTCCAGAAGTCTGAGAGGAGGTTTATTAAACCAAACCCCATCAAAATAAAGCACAGTTTGTGCTATGTGGCTTTGAAAACAGTATAGCTCAGAAATCAAAATATCTTCCCAGCCTAAGTGCAGTGGACCCATATTAATATTGCTGGACAAAGAATGTCTGTATAAGACACACAGGGTATGAATCACTAGAAATGACTCACTCAAATTTAGGTTCCAGGGTTGAAAAGAACATCTGTACTGGATGAACAACAATGACAAGCACTTATAAGAATTGTGTGTACTTCTAATGCAGAGAAGGGCACTATAACATTCACATTACCTCCATCATTGTACATCTAAATCCATTTAGTCCATGCATGTGGTTGTCTAACAACAGAGGCACTTAGAGTAAATGAAATTCAAAAACAGATGAAAATAGAGTGAGTCATCTGGTACAAAAATGAACTCTTTGCTCTGCCTAGAAAGAACACAGTGTTTTCTCTGATGGCCATACTTGATCTTGGCCTCCAAGTTAAGCTCTGTATCACCTGCAAAATGTCTCTACAGTATACTTTACTGCTTTATGTGCTGACCATCCAGCTGTAGGAAGATGTCTTTGGCGATCACAGCTGCCTGGATCACGTTAGACCAGGGGAAGCCACAGGCAGCAGCAAACATAGCAACGTCATACACAAACTCCTGATGGAAGCACCGTTGTTCATCATAGCTCTCAGGCCATGAGAAATGAGAGCTGAGCTGCTGTACACCAGACTCTCTCTGAAAGACATTGATACATACATAAGTGCACACATAGTTTGTGGTACATTTACTTCATGTTAGTGTGACTTCCAGGAGACCATTTGATGCAGAAAAATACTCCCTTGGTTCTTTAGATGGCATTAAGCTTCATTTCAAGATTTGACAGTGTTGCCAGTCTTACTAATCAAAAGCTCCTAGAGTGGTTGTTCACCTCATGTTTGGGTCGATTATGTTGTCTTTTAAGTAGTCCTAGCAGCATTTGAGGGTAGTATTATAACATGAATTTCCCTTTGTATCAATTAATTCAAAATTTGTGGTGTTAATTCGGTGCCCACCTACCTGGAGCTTCGCTATCTGTGCCATTTCCCTCTCAGAAAGATAATCCATTCTTGATAAACAACACAAATGCACTTGGTTGCCATTGGAGATGAACGCGAGGACGTATGTGGGGCATACGTAGCTGTTAACGCGATGACGTCAGAAACACGTACGACGCGAGGAAGATGGAATATTTCTATTCTTTTATATACATTACTAAACATACAATTATCATAGTTAATAACCCATTTAATTAACTCATTATTAACGAAGTACTCTGGGCCTAATGAGTTAATCTGACACCTGTTGTTTACAGAGGTTTAATGGCGACGGCTTTGGTTGACAGTTTATTATAATGTTGTCTGTGACTTTGTCAGATAACACCGGAGCTGGTAATTTATCTGTCTAGTAAATAGCTTTATTAGTCCGGGGCTTAGGCATATCTGGGCTAATCCTCTTTAACATGAATCCCACTCCTCTTTTTCGCTACCGTCCTCTCCCCTTCTGGTTCTTCGAGAAATAAGGCGGAGGAGATGAGCGAGTTCAATGTAAAGATAACGGACTTAGGTGATATCAAGCCATAACAATAATACATCATATCCGGTCGTGCCTTTTAAATTTCTAAATTAAAGTTTGATTTGCTAACTTGAAAAAGTAGGCGATGCGCTTTCATTAGTTTTTTTAATACTGTTTTGTACTATTTGAAAGTTCAGCCTGTATTTTCACTTACTACCCTATTTTAAAAATAGTATTGGGTTATAAAAAATAAATTTTGGTGAATTTATACTAGTGGTTCTGCTCAGTTTCTGTAGCTAATATTCATAACAAAGCTGGTTGATTATGTATAACTAGCTTTCTGAATAATGACTTTCCAAATGATTATAAAAAGGTTTGTTGAGCCATCCATCCTCCTTAATGTAACACTAATCACGTTAAAGTAGCATACTATAACAAACCCGGTTTTTAAAAATCCATATTTTAGAATTAACTGTAGACCTATGAACTATTATTAAGATTGTCCCTCAGGAGGCTATTTTTATTATTTTAAATGAGAACTGCGCTGGATCATTTAATATTATTATTGATAATAAGTTACACGCTATTGTAGGCTAGTAATGCTATCCATCATAATCTGAAATGCACGGGCGCGACGCATTAATTTGGAAGTGCAATCGCGGTACTTCCGCAGGTGCTCACCGTTTACCTGCTGACTTGACGCCTGTTTGAATACGCCCCTCACATCTGCGATCTCCGGAGGAAACTGAAGGCACCAGTGGACAGTTCTATTTAACTCTGACCGATGCCCACACCTCGGTCCGCGCTCACTACTGGTCCAGAACAAACCCTGGTTTAATATCCTATCATCAAAATACAATTTTCTTCTGGATCTATAACCGACTACTGATATTTCGTCACTGTTACGGGCATGCGTCTATACTGGTAAGAAAAATCTATTTTCTATTTCATTCTAATGCTTTATGCACAGTGTGTTATTCTAATCTCACAAGCGAATTACATGTTTAGAGTATGTGTCTGTCTGTGGTCCAGTTGTGAGGATGAGGTGAGTCACACACAGTTGCTAATGGGATAAGAGGGAGGGGGCAGTAGAGATTGAGCAGGTACAAAGCGGAATGAATGGACTTCTGTGTCTGTGTCCTGCTGACTGCACTCTGTAAGCTTTAGCACTCACAAAACTTTAGTTTTGGTTTTGTTTTTTTGTTTTTTTTTATATTTTAAGGAGAAGAAAAATGATGTCCATCAATCAGTGCCTCCAAAACAGAGAGGAAAGGACAGACATCTGGCCAAAGGAGTTTTGCTTATTGTAGGAAGAAGTGTCTCTGCCTGAATGCCAACAGACACAGTGCAGAAGCCATGACTTCCTTGATTTCTCCATAAGGAATCAGTCCCAGCAGTTTTCCAAGGACCAGCTGCCTGATGCTTCTCTGTGATGTCTCACTGCCATCAGCACAGGAACTATTCGTTCCTAACGTCCTGTCTACCCCGAATTTCCTTGAGGCCCACCTACTAATTTCATTTTCTCATTAAAGCTGTGGCAGATTGATGAAATAAGGAGTTACATGAATCTGAATTATGCAATAAATTGTTCAATGGTACATGCTTAGGTACACTAGCTAACTACTTGATATTACAGTATATAAAAAAAAAAAAATCCCCACTCGCCCCCCAATCCGGGGCGGTCATATTCCTTCCTTCAAGCTCGGGTCCTCTACCAGAGGCCTGAGAGCTTGAGGGTCCTGCAGTATCTTAGCTGTTCCTAGCACTGCACTCTTCTGGACAGAGATCTCAGATGTTGTTCCTGGGATCTGTTGGAGCCACTCTCCCAGTTTGGGCGTCACAGCCCCCAATGTTCCTATGACCACTTGTGCCTTCACCTTCCACATCTTTTCTAGTTCTAGATCATCTTATAATGGTACATGCATTGTTATACTTGGCACCAGTATTTAAAATCACTGAAATGCTGCTCAATTACATCATTTATAATAATATCAGTTATACAATATGCAATAGTATAACATAGATATGAAGTATTCCGACTGCATTACAATCCATTGTTTTTTGATATTTTAAGTACAGTTTACTGACAAATTGTTGAATTCTTTACTTTACTTTTATTGCAGTATAATCAGTATTTTTCACTTACCTTCACTAATGTAACTCAAAGTATAGGAACATTGCAGGAACAGTTAAGCACCAAATTATCCTTAATATACCATGACCTCTACATCCTCTGCTCACCCTGGTTAAAAATCACCCTGCTAAGTTAGAATAAAAGTTAATCAGAACTACAAATTAGCGCTTGCCTCTTCTCTAGTTCAGGTGCAGCATGAAGATCATCACTTGTCTCACCACCATTTTGGTCTCACCATAGCAACCCCCCTCCTCCCACACACATATACACGTTCTTAAGCAGGCTTTATATTCTATCCTTAGCCTCCCCCCTGACTCCCCCTCCTTCCACCCCTGTGCTCCCAATTACCGACTGCCATTTTACACTGAGAGCTGTGGAGCCAGACATGCTGCTATAGCTGTACCTCAGTGAATGCATCAGGCTGCAGAGATAGCCGCCCCCACATACATATGCACATATTCACACACATGGTGCTTTCTCTGGTTCTGACTCAAGTGGTTTGACCCTGCACGGACATCCGCAGACTCCCCTCCAGCTTTATCACATCTCTTTGGACCATGCTGCCTGAATATGTGAGTAGACCGAGCCCATGACAGTGTAAAAATAGACAGTATAAAAACAGACAGTGTAAAAATATTTAAAACTATTAATAGTTTTGTTCTTTTATAAGGATCAGATAGTTTGTCTGTAATATTCTGTACTAACAATGGTTTACCAGTAAAATAATCTAAAAATGGGTCTACAGCTGATAATTCAGTGTTATGCTGTTATTATTGTTGCTTGTTTTTCACAATATGTTTTTACCAGCCCCTGCTTCTTGCACATGCTCAAAGGGTTAGTGCGTATGGATGGATTATGATATAACTTGTTAAAATATCAAAGGTGTTTCATATCAATGAGGAGTGCAATCAGAAATAGCACTCTTCATTATAGCTGAAAAATTTGTCAACAAAAATCAAAACTTTAACATGTACTGTAGTTAACTGGACTGTGCAGTTAATGTGTAGTTCAAATTTGGGTGGCATTTCCTTCTAGTCAAAGTAAAACAACAACAGTGATATTTTAGGTCTCAGGTTGTTAAGACACTGGAGGGAGATTAAGAAGCAAAGCCTCACACGGTGAGTGTCAACTGCTAAGAGCAGTTATTTAGCCTGAAGTGTAGCCTCATGGGACTAAAACACCTGCTAAGCCTGCTGATAACATTCACCTTTTCATTGTCAAGGTTCATTATTTAATACGAAAAGCAAGTCGTCACTCTGGCTGGCTGACTGTATACAAGTTAGTTATTAGTTTTGATTGCTGCTCTTATGAATGGCACCTGATTATGTTGTAAAGTTTAAACTTGGTTTTGCATTATCTTTTCATTCTGTGAGCATTTTTGTATAACACTACAGCTTTGAGGTTATAAAACAAAGTGAAATTATGAATTCTGTACCATATATTGTGCAAGCTGGTTTATATCATCTGTTCAGAAACTATTTACATCCATTCCAAATAGGATTTCTAGATGTGTGTGCTTGACTAAATATAGCACATTGTGGTAAGCTCAGTCTAACATCTATAACTGTAGAGCTTCATGTAGCTGCATTTGATATTGTTGGATGCATATTTGTGTGTACCCCTCAGGTGTGTGTGAAAGTGCAGTACACATTCAGTCCAGGCTGGGATGTGGGACCCCCAGCCCCATTCTAAACATGCCTCACCCCTCCTGGTGCCACCCCCCTCCAACTTCCACCTCGTCCATGTGACCAGAGCCACCCCGGCCAAGTGGATCACCTTTTACAAAAGCGGTGACAGCCAGTTCGGGGGCGTCAGGATGGCCATCAACAAGCGCAGATTCAAATGTTTTGATGCCCTGTTGGATGACCTTTCCCAAAAGGTGAGTGGGATAGGTGTCAAGCTGCGGTATAGAGATTCCGTTTAAAGCTGACTGTGTTGATGCTGGGGTGCAGCACTTTCAAATTTCCTTGGCAATGACATTATTTCTTTTCTCATAAAGGTTTACCTGACATGAAAGACATTCCTCTTATTCCTTTCAAACCTGATTTTTCTTGACCAATGTTAAAATTTGATTTGGAGATACACCAGCAATAGATTGACAGCAAATAAAGTATAAATATGTGTCCACATACAGGTGCCCTTGCCCTTTGGTGTGCGAACTGTGACCACACCCCATGGCACCCACACCATCAAACAGCTAGAACAGCTCCAGGACGGTGGCTGCTACCTCTGCTCTGACCGCCGCCAGGCTAAGCCAATCAATATGGAGCTGGCCAGCCAACGCCCAAGCATTTGGCACCGTCACAGCCGGAGGCCTCAACAGCCTGAAACCCCACCTGCAACACCACCTGGCTATTTAACTTATAGGCCGCGACGGATTCTGCTGGTGAAGAACAGCAATCCAGGGATGAGGAGGAGCATTGTGCTGAACAGGATGACAACCAGGAGCCTAAAGGCCTTTCTGGAAAAGGTGTCCAAGGTGATGCAGTTTCATGTCTGCAAGATCTACACAGCAGAGGGGCACAGGGTAAGAAATGATTTGTACATGAATGTAAAGTTACAATTTAGAGCACATTTTTCATTACAGAAGACATCCAGTTTAGTGGAAACTCCTAGCACTGCCTGAATTTATTTCCAGATTGATAGCATGCAGCGCCTGATGACTTGTCCTGGTGTGTTGGTGTGTGTTGGCCGGGAAGCCTTCCACCCAATGCTGATCAACTTTATCAGGAAGAACTCAGAGGAAAAACTGCCTGGTCTTGGCCCCAGGACTCCTGGAAATGGGGCCCAATCTCCTGTTACTCAAGGAACAAGATCCCATCCTCATGGAGCTCAGTCCAGAGGCAGCGAGAACAGTAACGAACATGAAAACAAGAAAAACAGTAAGTTGTCAAAATGTGAAAAGGCACAGGCATCTACATAAACACTAATGAGTAAACAACAACAGATCTTCAATGTGCTCACTGCCTCTGTATGTGTTCACGTAGCTGCATTTGTCAGTTTAACTAAAAATAGCAAAAGAAGCAACAAAAGTTAAAATTTAATGTGCTTTAATTCCTCTCTTTCCTTTCAGTAAACTTTGGTCTGGAAACCAAAAAGAGCATCATCCACCCTCGCTCTGATTCCTCAAACCGCTCTGCTCGTTTCTCTTTGTCTTCAGAGAAGTCATACAGCAATGGTGTTAACGTTTACTCCCAGGCCAGACCTGCAATTACGAATGATGACATTCAAAAACGTGTGCTTGTCAATAAAGACGGCAGCCTATCGGTAGAGATGAGGGTGCATTTTCGCCTCCACAATGAAGAGACCCTAAAATGGTCTACACAGATTAAAAAATCCCCATCTCTGACCAATGACTCCTGCCCCGTGAGCCAGGACCAGCCCCACTACCTGCAGCAAGGTCAGTCAGAGAGCTGTTCTGACCCTGATTCCATGTCCTTCGAACCAGATGATGTGGATTATTCCAACCAACCTCTGCAGCATGCAGAGGAGGTGAATCACTGCCCCTGCCGCTACCAGAGACAGGAACAACAGTATGATTTGTGGGAAAATCCTGCACACAGCCACAAACATCCTCCTGTCCCACCCCTGCATCCACATACATCCAGCCACACTCACACTATGATAAGACATACGAACTCCTCTAGCTCTTCTTCATCATGTAATTCCAGGAGAGTCGTGCACTGCCGAGCACGGATCTCCACCTGCAGAGGAGGCTCAGGAACAGAGCAGAGCCAACTGGTCCAGGAAGAAATGTGTGTGACGGAGCAGGTTGAGCGTAGAGTAGAGGTGGAGCAGGATGGAGACACCCAAGTAGAGGTGTGCAGGGTGAGCCGGTGCTGCAGTCACAGTGAAGTGGTTGCCAAAGACAGCAACCTACGACCACTCAGCAGATCGTCGGTTGAGAATGAGCTAATGATGGACGAAGAGGAGGAGCATCCGCTGTTCGTATTCAGCAGCTCCTCACATACCCTACAGTCACTGAAAAAGGACCAGAATGATGAGGATGATGATGACATGCCATCCAGCGCCTCACAGTGCTGTCATAGCAATGAACCATCACCATTCCTAACCTCCAAGACTCACCTGAATGGCAAGCCAACAAGCAACGTCTCAGCAGGTTCAGTCCATTCTACTGAACACACGAAGCACGATGACAGGGAAGAGAGAGGAAGCAGGTCGGTATCTGCAGCTTCTTCATGTCACTGTGGAGCAGTCATCCCACACTCAGCAGCTGGTGCTGACAACATGGATCGAGCTCCCAGGTCCAAGTCCAAAATGAGCACATCCTCTTGCAGCTCCAGCAAAATCCCAAACTTAGAGGACGAGGGGCCAGCAGATGTTGAGGATGAGGAGGTAAAGAGGTCTGTTAGTGATCTGTCTGGTCCCACAGATCTTTCAGCAGGCTCTCAAATGTCTGGAGCATCAGGTGTGTGCCCCAAGTGTGAGGGCTGGAAACGTGAGGCCAACTCTTATTCCAATAGTAAAACATCACAGAGATCCCATCGTTCCCACCAGGCTTTTCCAAACTCTGCCTCACCTCTCTGCAACCAAGAGGATGCCAATAATGGCTCAGATGATGCAGCTGAGTCAATACATTCTAACAAGACCAATCTCACCAACTATGGGCAATTCTCTGCAATATCAAATGTCCCTGTGGGCAGAGGATCTAGTGCCATGTCCAAGATGTTCAATCCTGAGCCAGCAGGAAATGAGGAAGAAAGGGCTCCTAGCGCCACCTCAGCTACAAGCCACATCTCCAAAAGATCACAAAAGTCTGGCTGTAATTGTGCCACTGGAGTCACAACCAATAAAGAGGAGGAAAGAGGCCCCAGCACCATGTCTGCTCAGTCCAACCTGTCTGCCAAGTCCAGCAAGTCTTTCAAGTCCAACTCCAGGGGACCAGCTGAAGCTACTGATATCAGAATAAGGAAGGAAGCAGAGGGAGAGAACGCTAACTCCTTGTCAGCCAAATGTGGTGTTTCAGCAAAGACCACTGGTTCAGTCAAGTCTCACTGTTTGTTAAGTGGTGAGGTTGCCTTCCCAACTGACAGTACAGTGACAGAAGAGGGTGATACAAACATAAGAGCTCCCAGTAGCCTTTCTGTTAAATCTACTGGTTCTACCCAATCAGGCAAGGCAGCAACACCTGATAGTGCCCTTTCAGCTGAATCACAGGTTACAACAAAGTCCAGCACTTCTCATAGAGTCACTTGCAGCCACTGCGCAAAAGCAATATCTCCAGGTGCTAAGCTAGCTGCCACCAAAGCAACAGGACAGGAAGAAGGAACAGAGGCAGAGGAGAGAGCAGTGAGTCCAGCCAAGTCCAATCTGTCTGTCAAGTCAAACAAATCCCATCAGTCCAGTAGAGCTTCAATTTCTGTGATGTCAGAAGTTAAAGGAGATGGTAAACAAAGGGTAGCAAGTCAACTGTCTGCCGGATCAGTTAATGTGTCTGTTAAGTCTTCAAAATCATGCAGAACCAACTGTAATGACAATGAAACTGCAGGAACTCCAAGCTTAAAGGTGGGAGAGAATGCTGAGGAAAAAGACAACAAGATGGTAGAGGTGGAAACACAACAGCAGCCAGAAAGTGTAACATTTGCTAAATCAGAAAGAGAGGAAAGGGCGGCCAGCTCCGGGCCCTCTAGACCTTATAAATCTAACAGTAATGGCAAATTAGAAGCAGATTCTGAAAAAGAAGACAATACAGGAGGAGATTTAAAAGTTAAAGACCAGGCTGCCAGTCCTTTATCTGGTACATCGGCCTCCTCCACAAAGTCTTGCCATATAAAAACAGACAGATTCCCCAGTGCTATGTCAGGGAAATTACACACTTCTTCCAAGGCCTCCAGGTCCACAGCATCTCCGAGTCCAAGTGAAACTAATGTTCCTTCTATTGAAACAAATGTAGAGGAGAAGCCAGATGAAATGTATGAGCAGGTCGCCAATGCCATGTCTGTAAAGTCAAACTCCTCAGTGAGGTCCTGTACATCTCAGAAGTCAAATTCTGTCAAGACTCTCAAACCAAGTTCACCAAGTTCAAATGTTGTTACCATTAAAAAGGCAGAAGGGGTTGATGGGGCAGGAATTGAGAGAACAAAGAGAGCACCAAGCGCTGCATCAGTTAAATCTAATGTTTCCAGTCATAACAGAACAGCTAGTGTTGCTGCAGACACAGATGAAAAGGTTGTGGAAGTCAGTGCACCAAGGATCTGTTCCCCACAGACCCACTCACCTAAACCTCCAGCTTCATCCTCTAGAAGTCCCCGATCCCCTGTGCAGCAGTTGTCTGGCCCAGGCGGAGAAGCAGGAGGGCCCAGTGCCTTGTTAGTTCACACCGCAACCTCTGCTAAATCTGGCAGGCCCAAATGTCGCTGTAGAGCAGCTTCAGCAATTGAAAAGGCAAAGAAAGAAATAGATGGAGTGGAAAGGGAGATTGAGAAAAGGAAGGAGAAAAGTGAGGAGGCTTCTGAGCAAACCGTCCACACCATGTCATTCTCATCCATAAGACAGAGGAGAGAATCAGGAGGCACAGAGCAACCACTGAGTCAAAACTCTTCAGGTTCAGTCTCTCTTGGCCTACCTGAAAATCAAGACACAGCTGATTCAGACAAGTCCAGTGTTTCTTTTCACGCAAACACTGAGAGTAAGGGCAGAGTGAAGACATCAACACCTAATGTCCCCAAAAGCACGATGGAGAGAGATGTGGAGGGAACAGGGACTCCTGTGTCTCAAAGGTCCAGCACTAATGGCAGTAAAAGCACTTTGTCTCACAATCCTGAAGCAGTTGACATCCCCACTATTGAAACTCCAGGAGGGTGTAAAGATGAAGATGAAGAAGGTGGAGGGCAAAAAACTGAAAGAACAGCCGGTGTGTTTTCAGGCAACAGCAGCAGGTCTCACAGGTCATCTTGTAACTGTAGTGTCAAAGCAGCAGCTCAAATACTTAACAGCACACCTAAAGAGGAACATGGTAGTGCCAGCCCAGCCAAAGCAGGAAATGACCTTGAAACAGAAAGTGTGAAGTCGGCTTCAGCAACAAAAGCTAGCAATTTGGATACCTGCGACAACAGGACCTCATCTGCAATGTCATCAGCTAGTGCTAAGGTTCAGAGCAAATCACCTGCAAGTGCCAATGTAGCAAAAACAACTGCTGAAGATTCAGCAAATAATGACCATGACACAAGCAGATCAGCTAATAAGGCCAAAGGGAAGGGAAATATCAGAGACAAGACAGCCAACATTCACTCCAATAGTCCCTGTTGTCTCAGGCCTGAGTCTACAGCTTCAGTTCAATCAGGGACTAAAAAGAAAGCCTCAAAGCAAAGTAAAAGGGAGACTTTAGTCAAATCCAATGGAGGAAGCAACAATGGCAGTGTCAAAGAGTCAGATTCTCAAAAGAAAGAAACACCTATCAAACCCTTGAGCCCCTGTCCCTTATACACCTCCAGACCGTGCAGCAGATTGGAGACACATAGTGAAAGCACAGTGTCTCGCTCTCTGTCTGCTGCTGACCTGCTGAAAGAAAGTATGGCTGCTGCACATTCACACAGCAAAACCAGTGACAATGTCAGGAGTGAGAAAAGCACAAAGTCCCAGAGAAGCAGAACCCAGAAGGATCAGCAGGAGGAACTGACACCTGCCTGTCTGCCCAGCACTTCCCCCACTGAGGTTGTCAGTGACTGGCTGCGGACCATTCCCAATAACAGCAGCATGCTGACAACTGGCGAAGAGCTGACTGACCTGGAGCAGGAGATGGAAGAGAAACCTGGTAAAGAGGTGGCAAAGGAGGAGGAGAGTGCTGAGGGTGAGGAGAAGAAAACTGAGGCTGAAGAGGAAGAATGGAAAGATGGAGCAGTTAAATGTAATGTAGGAGAGGAGGAGGAGAAGAGTTCAGATCCAGTTCCAGGTGATGCAGTTGTGGAGGAGATGCAGACCTCTTCTCATCCTAACACTCTGCTGTTACCCAGGAACTGGCACTCTTCTGCAGCTGTGATGAAAGTCCTTCTGAGCTCTTCTCTGGGTCGATGTCGCAGCATGCCTGAGGTACATGTAGTGTATCAGTATACAGTATCTAATACATATACAGTGTTATGTATGTTAGATATAGATAATCAGCATTCTTTGTATCTTTGCTGTCTTCTTCAGGTGTCTCCAGTTTATGGTCGTAGACTGAGCACATCAGCCAGGGGGCTCTTGGACTGTTTGGCACAGCTCCAGCTCATTGAGCCTGCAGTGAGCCTTGGCTGTGACCAACAGAAGGAGCACAACCAGCAGTATGAGGGCATTATGGACATCCTTCAATCCCTCTGGCTCACTGAACCCAGAGACACTGAGACCAAGGAGGCCAAGGACCTTGGCACAGAGCAGGTGAGTCCACCAAGGTCCTCATCTGGGGTGGATATGAGTAGTGGTTCTGGTGGATCAGGAAAGGAGAATAGAAATCAAGGAGGAAATGAAACACTGCCAAAAGAAACTGAATCTTTACTTGAGGGTGGAGGAGCAGCAAAGGTTGTAGAAGAGGAGAATGAAGTAAATACACAGGCAGAGGTTGGGGAAATGGAGGTGGAACCAGAGGTGATATCCACAGACAGAGTAGAGGAACCGGTACAGGGAGAAGAACAAAGTACAGTCCCTCCAAAAGCCACTGAGAACCCCTTATCATCAGACAAGAGTTCTGCCAACAATAGCTCTAAATCCCCCACTGATAATGAACAAGAAGCAGTGGAGGACTCCAGTTCAGGCACGCCTCCGACTGTCCTGCAGGCACCCTTGTCCAGAAGACCATCCCAAGACCCAGATCCACTGTGGGTACTCCACCTTCTGAAGAAGCTGGAGAAGCAGTTCATTAAACACTACACTGATGCCATGGCTGAGTTTAAAGTTCGCTGGGACCTGGATGACAGCCTCATGCTGGACAAAATGATATTGGAACTGAAGGATGAAGTGTGTAGACGCATCCAGAGCAGCATCTCACGTGAGATGAAGAAGATTCAGAGTCGTGCAGGCAGAGGATGGAGATCACCCCGGCCTCCACAAGGAGGGAACCTTTCCAGGGAGTCCACCATGACAGAGAAAAGGCGTCAAATGTTGAAGGTAAGCCCACAAACTAAATTTACATCCTTCAGGATACTGTAGCTTCCGTGGCAGAAAGGTAATGCTTAATTTATGTTTCAGGTCATGAAGAACCAATCAGTGAAAACCACTGACTCCCTCAGCAATGAAGAGATGACGGCTGAGTTCAGCGACCAACAAAGCGACGATAAATACTGCCCCTGCGATGCTTGTTTCCACAAGAAAATGGCTGCCTGGCCTCTTAAGACTAACATGGTAGCTGCTGACACACCAGTGATGATGGAGTTTGATCTCCTTAAGATACTTCAGATGAAGAAAATCCCATCGGCTGCACCAGCAGTGGTACCCCAATCTGTGGACATAGAAGGTGACAGCATGGTCGCAGACGAGGAGGGGAGGAATTCAGAGGTACTACTGGAGGAAAAGGAAGAAGATGATACTAAAGAGGATATCAAAGCTGATGTTGTTTTGGAAGAGACAATCCTAGAAGAAGACAAGGAGACAAGACAAGAAGAAGATGGAGGTGAGGCTGGAGCAGAGGAGGCAGTAGCAGCTGAAATTGAGGGTGATGAGGAGCTGGAAGTGAGAGAAACAGGTGGAGAGAAAGCTGGGGAAGAGGAGGGATCAGAAAATGGACAGGAGGAGGAAGAAGAGGTGGAGGCACAATGTCAGTGCCATGCTGCCAGAAATGAGGATGAGAGCAATAAAGAGGGATCAGAAAATGGACAGGAGGAGGAGGAAGAGGTGGAGGCACAATGTAAGTGCCATGCTGCCAGAAATGAGGATAAGAGCAATAAAAAGGTCAGGGCAGGAGTGGAAGAGTGTCACATGTCTGATATTAAGTGTGAGGAAGAAGAAACAACAGGCACAGAAAGTGGAGAACAAGAGGCATCTGTGGAGACAGAGGATGACAGTACTGCAAAAAATGAAGAATTAGCATTGCAGGAGGAATTTGTGGAGGGAAACGCTTCAGTAGAGGCCAAGGATAAGAATGACTGTGATGATGGCACCAGAGAGGGGGAGTCACATGAAGACGAAAAGGGAGAGAGTGAGGAAGCAGGAAGGGGTAATGTCACCACCACAGGTTAAAAAAAAAATCTGGATAAAAGGAATGCATTCAGTAATTATTCTGAAACTGCAATTTATAAATAATCCCCACCGTACCTGCCTGAATGCAGGGTTCATGTCTGCTGTACCTTAGAGAGCAGCCTGACCTACTGCAGCCTCAGCACTGACTCTAAGCCTGTGGGTAAAGATAATCTTTCTATCCAATTAGACAGATTGAATAAATCTGCTGTGTTTGGCAGCAACGCCAAAAACGTCTGCTGTTATTAGCACTGAACAACTGTCTAAGAAATCCCCTTCTTTTACCTAGTTCTCGTGCTTAATATTGACATTTCACTTCCTTATTTGAAACATGCATGAGAGGAAATTTAAACCAGTTAAGGTTCAGCATGTTCAGATTTTACTGCAGACTTCCTGCACTGATAAAGTGAAATTAATTCTGAAGCCAACCAGTATATTTTCTCTTGCTATATAACTAAACTGTAGCTGTAATTGGTGACATTAACTGCCCAGGCCTTAATTACAACTCCTCCTTATTTAACCCTCAGGGCAAAGAGACAACTACAGCTGTCTGTGTGACAGAGGGAAAGGAGGCCAACGCTGAAGACTCAGACACCAAAAGCAAACATCCAAGCGACACTAGTGCAAATAAATCGGGACACAAGGGTGGTGGAGCCACAGCAACTCAGACACCAAAAGCAAACATCCAAGTGACACTAGTGCAAATGAATCAGGACACAAGGGTGGTGGAGCCACAGTGGACAAGTAGGATGTTTAGGCAGATGCTGTGGAGGATTTCAAAGAGGAGTTGAAAAGTAACAAAAGCAAGTATAGCGCTCTCCTTCATCAGTTCACCGGGGCCTCTGTGGTGTCCCAGCCCGGCTTGCTGGAGGACACTGACACAGAGTCACCACAAAACGCTGTAGAAGTGCACAGAACAGCTGCAGGTGGATCTGCTGGTAGTGGCTGGCCAGGGCCAAACACCGTAAACCTAAAGAGAGTGGGCTGGATAGCTTTTACAGTAACTCAAACAGAAACCAAAACTGCTGTATGAATTCACACTCTTAAGACAGCTCCCATAAACATTTGCTCTCTCTCCAACTACACACCTAAATTTATGTAGGGTTAAAGAATGAAACCAAAAAAATACTCAAACATTTGAAGCACTTTTAACTTCAGATCCAGTTTAGGAGGAATCGCACTGATTGGAACTTTGAAACTTGAACCCACCACCTTACGTGGTCTAACTATATCAAATGTATTTATTATGCTTGTATGTTTTTAAGTTAACTGTATTTATGAAGTAAAATGTCTAAATCTGTACTGTATATGGACAAATAAGTTACAGTATATTTTTGAAACAAACAAAACATATTTTTGGACTATGTGGACCCAGGTGTAATGATTTATTGAATCATATAACCATGACTATACCAAGTACCTCAGAGGTATGATAGATGTTAGCTAACACATGCACTGATACGTGGTTTGTTTTCTTTGTCTGTTTTGTGGACTCATCTCAGCACGTTGAAGATGATGGGTTTTTAGGGGTTTGGAGTTTCAGCCACTCCCAACAGTACTATCCCAAAGAACATTTATAAATTACTTTCTATCACAAACAAAAACAAGTGTTATAGTAGATTTATTATGTTATTGATGAATCTTGTGACTTCCCTTTAAGCATGCATATGTGTGAACTCTTTTCAACAACAATGTGACGCTGTGTGTTTCTGGCACACTAAATCTCTACAGTAAATGTCAGGACACATCAGTCTGAGCTTCAGGTTGATGTAAACCTCGCTCTGGTTTTCTTAGGCGTGTGTTACATGCTGGAGACTCAGGAGGGGTTTGTATAACCAACCATTTGGAACAACAGTGTGACGTGTGTTACTGATGCCTTACTGTACCCATGGTTATATGAGGGTAGGTTGACAGCGTGGCGATCACAGCTAATTGTACTTTTAGACCACAGATAGTCTGCAAGTGAATGAAGTGCGTGTGGTTTTATTGCTTAGTTTGACAAATGACTCCAAATGCTGCTAGTGAGAGGGTGTGTGTGTCTGTGCTGCTATTGGTCTGTTTGGCTGTCCATCAGTCTGTGACATCACCAAGTGAACATCATGTACCAAGAGCAAATGAACATACAAATGTAACATACTGATATAAATAAAACAAATGCACATGTCCTCATATGACTTTACCCAAATGTGTGCACATTTGCAAGATTTCATTCTCATTTATTTCATTTTTATGTTTCTTTACACTAGTTTAGCTTTGAGTTTCATCAGCTGACATATTCCACACTGATTGGACACTTTTACTTAAACGTATTCCCACCAGCACCTGTTGTATTTACAATACCTGCACAAACAGAGAAACAAATAAACCTCCAATTATTCCAGCCCAATTATCACTACTACCATTGTAATCCTTGCACAGACCTCTAGATGGCCAACATTAGCCATTTTACTACTTCAGGCATATACAGTATATACAGTAAATGCTGAGAACTTTACACTAATGCTTTCTGGTCCAGATCTGATGTGCACTTAACTGTTCTAAGCTTCCTTTGCTCTGTGCTTTCCAATACTGTGTGTGGCTCTGCTCCAAAGATATTTCCAAAGCTGCTCAGCTGCTCTCAAGATACACTCACATGTCACACTAATCCGGTACCTGTGAGTGTGTGCGTTGAGGAATTGAGGATGACTTACATCACACAGACAAGCATGGCAGAGCCTATACCTCTAGAAGACAGTTACAGAACACAGGCTGAAAATTTAAATCCAACAACACCCATGATCAATATTGGGCTTTTAAAATAATTCTGTTTTTTAATATGCTGGATTTTTGTTTATTAAATATATGTATACAATATATGTATAAGCTCATTTTTCAGTTGTAAAACTAAGTTCAACTTGATTAATATTTTGGCTTTATTACTTATTAACTCATACTAAAATCAGCAGTCAGTAAAGGAGGATTATATACCTTTGACTCAAACGTAGAAATTTGTTTATCTGAAACAGCTGACCTCTAACCTCTCTGCAGAGGAGAGTAGAGGAAATGTACTCTGTGTGTATGTAGGGACATCATGCCTTGTCGATTATGACAGCCACAGCTTCCCTTACAATTGACTGCTGCTCCAAATGAGACTCTGCCTCCATGAGAGAGCAACCAGTCAGCAGAGAGACCAAAGCCAGGGGGACCACCTGCACATAGAGAGAGAAAATCTAACACAACTGGCCTTCTCCAGCCATGCACCTCATGCATGTTAAATGCCTCTTTACCTTGGTCCTGCTTCGGGCAGTGCGTGTGTGTGTGGCGGTGTCAGAAGATGTGATGCCTGTTGACAGCTCGTCCACTCTGTAGATGGCCTTCAGAAGTGCCTCCTCACACCGGTGCTGAGGACAGCCAGACAGCTTCTGGAAGATGGGCAGGAGAGCACCTTTAGAATCATTAGTGTACATCCTTTTAAGTCCTCTCTGTGTGAAGGAGAAGCTTAAATGTCTCATTTCCACTCCACAATTAAAAAATAGGGACATCATATCAAAATAATAAACAAAATAGATATAAAGTCATGGAATAAAACTAAGCTAAGTCATGTCTGAATTCAGCTGCTTTTTTTAAGTGTCCACAGGTCTTATATATTGGTGGGTGTGTTGAGTTAAATAACTATTTTTGAGGTTGTAATGTTATATACCTGGAGTAAACGTGAAGCTCTGTAGTAGAGTTTGCTGTTGGTGACCTGCACGTCGATCATGTGGTTCTGGTAAATTTTCCCCTTTAAGACGTGAGCTCCAGTGCTCACAGCGTTCAGCAGCAGCTTAGTGGACAGCTCCCACTGCTGAGAGCAAGAAGGAAGTGATTTTCTTTCCATTTACACAAGCTAGACTGAGAGGAAACAGGGAAAACATTACAGTAAAAAAATAACCTGGCATCTAAAATAAGACCTGCAGAACAAGAGAAATCAGGAAAAAAAAAGTTTAAATAGACCTCTGTCCAGTGTATTTGTGTCTTTGTAGTTCTGCAAAATAGTGTTTAGAAGGAGGGGAAAGACAAAGAACAAGAGAGTAAATGAGGTTAAACAGATATTTACCATGCTCCAGTGAGTCACTGCATCAGTGTGTGTGTGTGTGTGTGTGTGTGTGTGTGTGTGTGTGTGTGTGTGTGTGTGTGTGTGTGTGTGTCGTACCATGTGTAGTAGGCTCCCTGGAGCTGGTGACAACCAGGTGATTTTTAGTGTTGATAAACAAAGTCTGTTGATGTCATCCTGCAAAAAACAGATCAGATAGATAGATAGATAGATAGATAGATAGACAGACAGACAGACACAGACAGAGACAGACAGATAGATAGATAGATAGATAGATAGATAGATAGATAGATAGATAGATAGATAGATAGATAGATAGATACTTGTTGTACAGTAGCTGCAGTGTCTCCATCAGCCTGATGATAAACAGCATGGAGGTTAGAGGTCTTCTCTCTCACTCTGCTTGCCAACTTCACCACTTCACTGACATCGTCTGTGTAGAGAAGCTGTTAAGACACATGCTAATTTTATCTGGACAGAATCCAAACATGAAAACAAAGGCTGCCTCACCAGAGTGTGTGTAAATCAGTAGAACAGTGTCCTTGTCACTGAGATAGGGCAGAACTAGATGCAGAAAGTCTTCATGTGCTATGCAAAACTCAGGACCCTGAAGGAAAGACATCAAACCATTTTACTTATGGAGTACAGGCAAAACATCTGAGGTAGCTGTGTTTCAGTCAGGCAACTAATCGACTGGGATTCACATAAGGTGTAGTAATGTTTGGTGTCGAGCTTCGAACCTTGTCACTCCCAACAAGGAAACATCAAGTTCAGCACAGCAGGAAGTGGGGAGTGACAATACTAATTTCCTCCACAGGGGAATGTAAACTCACAGAGCCTACAGGGGAATGATGGACTAAATAACATTTTAGTTTATTTTTTACAACATTGTTATAGAGTTCCTTGTTAAGTACTACTGACTTTGATCCAACCAGCAGTATACAATGGTTACATTACAATATACATATAATACACAGATTAACACAGATTAAATTAAAACATTTTTGTAAATATTAAGAATTAAGTATTGACAGCTCTAATGCAGTATGGTTTTCAGTCAGTTTTTGATTATGTATCAATTAAAGTCTTTGTTCTCTGTTTGCAATAATTACTTGTTCACTACCCTATTATGTTTAAATAGATGTTAATTCAGTGTTTCCGTACACATACCAGTGAAGTTAGGGGCCCCTCATTATTGTTCAGCTCTCTGTATCCTCCACTGATGAAGCCTCGAACATCTTTGTAGTCTGACATACACACACATGCAAATAGAAACGATGTCTCTCATGCAGATGAATGTAAAAATCTGGAAAAATACAATCCTGATTATTAACCACTGATTGTTTCAGATTATCTGATTACTGGGTGCACTTACATTTGGCCTTCACAGAAATTCACATGCAAATGAAGCCAGCTGTTTTGCTGCTAATGAGTACATCACACTTCTCTCACCTGCTCCAAATGTGGGTTTACACTCACTGGCATCAATGAGGCCCAGCAAAGCCAGAGAGCCCCAGCCCAGGTAGTAGACACACCTCCCACACCTCAGACTGAAAAGACATGCAGAGTGGATTATTAAGTTGCAAATAGGTCACACCTGGAAGCTTTAAAAGCTGATAATCCACCTTGAAAAATGTCATTAGTGTGGATTTCAATGGAAAATTTCAGAGGCTTTCCCACTTTGCAACAAATAGATTTTTTTAATTTTAGCAGATGTTATTACTGTAACATCTTAGGAGTGTAAGACAAGATAAGATGGGATGAGATGGGATGAGATGAGAAGAGCCTTTATTAGTCCCGTGATGGGGAAATTCACACTTTTGCAGCAGCAAGGGAATAGGAACAGGCACACAGTGTTCAGAATCACATTATTATTGATAGAAACAATGTAAACCATGTAGCTATAATAATACTGGTATAATAAGTAAACAATACCAATAAGACTGATAAAAAATTGCACCCTGTATTCCCATTATGCTAACTGTGGGATAGAGAAAAGTGACAGACAAGGTCATTATCAGTATAAGCAGTGCAGCCATACTAATAAAGCAAGACTGATATTGCACATAGAAATGCTGAATATTTACAGGCATTAAGTCAGTGGGTATGTAGGATCATGTGGGGGTGGGGGTCTACTGGGAGCAGTTCTGGTGCTACAGATCCTTCCTTCCTTCCTGCTGGGGTCAGCAGCAGGAAGGAAGGATCTGCGATAATGGTCTGGTACACACTTGGGTTCTGTCACTGACAGAGCTGCCCAGTGCTGTCGGAGTCTCACACATGGGGTGGGAGTCATTCTCCAGCAGGGATGTCAGCTTGGCTAACATCCTCCTGTCTCCCACCACTTGCACTGGTTCAAACAGACTTCCCAGGAAAGAGCAGGCCCTCTTGACCAGTTTGTCTAGTCTCTTCCTGTCTGTGGTTGAGATGCTGCTGCCACAGCAGACCACTCAATAAGAGATGGCTGATTGCGTATGCAATTATCAGAATAACAAGAGAAAATTCCCTTGTAAATAATGTATGTATAGTGTAGTAGCATGTCCGTGCTCAGTCATCCAGGTCATGGTAAGCTGAAAAAAACGTAGAAAAAATCATCTGACCATAGTTTTAGGTCGAAGACGTTTCACTCCTCACCCAAGAGGCTTCATCAGTTCTGTCCAACTGGTGTTGAGTAGGAGATATTTATCCCCCTGGGTGGCGTTTCAGTCCTTTGACGACCAACAATGTCCCCTAATGACTGATATGTTGCGGTTCCAGTCCTTTGGTGGCCAACAATGTCCTCTAATGACTGAGTCATTATAGCCCAATATTGGTGACCATCATTACCTGTAGTGGAACCCTCACATGTGGACCGCTGCCTATTGTGTAGTATATGTGGAAGGTTTTAAGTAAATTTAATCATGTTAATTTCTGTGTTTTTATATTTATTCATGACAAAAAATCAAGCACCTCATTTACTGATAAAACTGATCCTTTTTTGAATTCATTAAATCTAAGTCAAGGTTACAGTAAAACATACAAAATGGGATGCATCACCTCTGTCCAGCTGCCTCTAGCAAAGCACTTATTGCCTCACTCTGTGCGTATGTGACATCCAGAGCATTCTCATATGCTCTCATGTGCTGCAGGATCCCCCTGTTGAAAAGAAACACTGATCTTTACTACTATGCTGATGATGTCACAGCATGTAGAATCCAGTTAACAGTATAGAATCACAGAATCCCTTTCCTGCAATGACCTCTAGAGGACAGCAGCACACGATAGAAACAAAATAAATGCTCTTGGGACAATTGTAGAATAATTTAGGCAATCCATACTGGTTATTCTTCAGTTAAACTACTTATTTTCAACAGACTCTCTAAATTGCCTAAGCTCAAAACCAGACTATCAATATATAATTTTTTTAATTTACCTTATCAAAGCTTTTCAGTGTTTTACCCACACTTACGTGGATGTGATGGGTGCATGTGAAAAGACAGCAGCATGAGCAGCAGACAAGACAATCTCCAGGAGAAGCTTAGTGGCACTGCCTCCCTTCATCCTGGAAGAGCCACTAATGGCTTCTGGCTAACACACACACACACACACACACAGAGTCACTGGCCAAGGTTCAGACACACTACTTTCTTGAGACTTGACACCAATGCAACCTGAACAGTCAGTGAAAGAGAAAAGATAGTGTGTACACTGTTTGATGATGCATATGATGAGTACAAGTAGAGGTACTTACCCCAACTGCTGGGTTGATGAGGAAGGCCGTTTGGCTTTTGGCAAGCTCTTGCATCCTTTGCACCACACTGCGAAAAGTGAATGTGCAGCCTGGTATCGGCTCGTCCCTACAAATGTAAATACATTGCTATTTTTTATGTTACAAAATAAACTTATTTCATCCCTGGTTATCTATGTGTTCAATACCACTCTTGGATGGGGGGTGAATTACACACCTGGCCTGATGTGTAGGGTTGAAGCCAACCAGTACAGGAGTGTAAACCTCATGGTTCTGTAAACAGAAGTCCAGCTGACCTGCCACAAATGGAGCCTTGATGCCAGATATCAAACACACAAGAGAGGTTAACTTCAATTTTGCAAAGTTAGAATTCAGATTCTGAACAATCACAGCGACTTACAGATAGTCCACAGGAAATGCCAATGAACAAGACCCTCTTCTTTCCCTCACACACCTGCAGGGCACCAAAAACATGAAGTGGTCAGGTGCTGCTGGAGCTTTGCTAAAAACAACCAGACACACACACTCTCCATCATGCCCCTGACCTTCTTCAGACTGAGCGCGCCCAGTTTGGGGTCATCTTCAGGAGCTTCTTGGGAGGAAAACAGAGCTCTGAGGAAATTAAGATGGAAGGCTCAAGATGTAACTGAAACATATTTACAGTTCAACTTTTAAATTTGTTTAAGAAGAGTTTTTTTTTAACAAATACATAAGTCACCAAACACACCTTTGTTTAATTCAGTGCCCTCAGATGTTTTGCTGTCTTATTACTATGTGATAGCTTAGTCTAGCAGACTACTGCAGCAGAGGCTGCTGCTAAAAATATCACCAGCTAAAGCCCATGTCAACATCAATACAGCATTTCCCAAAGTTGACAATTATAGTTGGCTATGTAATTTCAGTTATATGAGTGTAACATTGTTTCATTGCAACAAAACAGCCCACCTGTCTCCTCCTGCAATGATGTAGGCATAGAGTGACCTCTGGTTCAGCTCCTTCAGCTCTCTGTTGAAGCCTGACTAACAATACACACAATATAGAGAACATAAGACACAACACAGGAAGCAATTTCTCCATAAAACAAGCAAGATTTGAAAAGGTTATTTCACTGTTACAAGCATTTCAGGACCGCTTTTACCGCTACGAGGAAAGCCAGTCGACCAGAAGTCCCACAACCACTCAGTACAACAAGGCTGTCTTTAGGGTCCTGATTGCAAAACACAAGACACACTGTCACCTTACATCTGACTGACCAACAGAAAATACAGACAGACACAAAGATGATACCTTGAGAATGATCTCCACCCTCCTAGTAACCTCCATCATGGTTTTCACCACTTGGTCACTCAAAAGCCCCTGAAAATGACATTCAAATAAGTGTTTCCTTTAATGAAAATTTTCAGATTTTTTTTTTTTTGGTCAAAAAAAAACTTGTTTTTGAATACTGTGACCTCTGACCTTTACCTTGTAGGTGTTCCCTTTCTCTTCCTGAAATATCTGGGCATCACAGGCCTGTAACATCCTCACAATGGAACCAGCTGAGACTCGGTCGATGTCACGTGTTAAAGGATTCGACTTCTCTGAAACAGGAAGCAATGGCTCATAATCTGGGGACTAAGAAACAAAATGACACATTCAAGAATAATTCAACATTTGCTGCATTGAATCCAATAACTGCAAAATGTAAACTGAAACAACATAATAAAACGCCTGTTTTACTCTGTAGCTGAGTTGATTTGATGGTAATTTGTTTTTCATGCTTTATAACAAAGAATAGTTTGATGCTTTGGGAAATAGTTTTTTTGCTGAGAGTTACACACGAGCATTGACACCACTCTCAGGTCTGTTTGCCTGCAGCCAGTTAGTTTAGCTTAGCATGAAGACTGGAAACTAATGAAGCAGCTTAGGCTGCCTTTGCTGAAAGGTAACAAACTCTAACAGTACCTCCAAAGCATATTATTTATCTGTATACAAACAGAAGTTGTTTTATGGGAGCTGTTGTGCTGGAGGGTCTTCCAATCTTCCAGCATACTAAACTATGCTAGTCAGCCACTGGCTGTAGCTTCACATTTTTCATACAAACACCAGTAGTATCAAGTTTCTCATCTAACTTTCTCAAAATGTCAGACTGTTCCTGTTACTTACCTCCCATTCGTGCACAGTGGAAAGACTACAGTTCCCGTCTGATCTGGCCATTGTGTATGAGTCCGTGCTTTACAGACAGAAACAGGAAGTGCCCCTCTGAGCAGAGATTCAAAATGAAAGCTATGTAGTGCTCCGTCCTATCTATAGTGACAAAGTTCACTTAAGGACCGTTGAGACTGAGGAGTGAAAGGAAGCATTAGTTTCACTGTAACACACCAAAACAAAGGTCTACAGTATGTGGATAAATGGCAATAGTTATTCGTGCAACTATAGGGATCAAGAAAATAATCTACCGCACAAACAACCCCTCATTTTTAAATCACAGAGTGCAACACAGCACAAGCAGCTTGAATATGGAGGTCAAACTGAAAAGTTGATTTTTAAGAATCTTCCTTGATCTCAACTCTGACAGCGTTGACTCACAATAAATCCAAACATCAAAATTTGTTCCATTATTTTCAAACATGCTTTTAACCATACAGTGCAGATCCAACTGTGTGTCAGCAGTGTGAAAATATTTACACCCCAGCAGATTGTGGAGTCTAATACATTCCATCACACTGTTTGATAGAGTGTGCCTCACTCCTCCAAACTCCCACCAGTCTCTCATAACTGCCACAAGGGCATTTTTTCACATCATGCTCCTATAACAATTCATATTTCTCCTCACACTTTGTACCTGCTATCATCTCTTCTCTGTGTAGTCATGGGTTGACATTCAGATGCACGGGACGACTCACTGCTGCCTCATGCTGATTATGAATGACACCAGACATCTGAAGTACAGTTTGGTGTTAACCTTTCTGAGTCAATCCAACACCAGAGCTGTGCGTAGAGTTAAGTGATAAGTCAAAGCACGATGTAGCACTTTCAAACTTTGTTGGCTCATGCTCGTCATCTTGACCTGAAAAAGTTGCATTCCTTCAACACCATCGCCAGTTCTCAAAGCTGTTTTAGATTCAGGCTCACCACACATTTGTGAGTAAACTGCAACAAGGACAATAGCAAGGCTGAATCACCGACTGCACTGTAAAAAAAATAAATAAAATTCTAGTTTTATAGAATATTTCTGTTACTTTACAGATTTTCCATGAATTTCTAAAATATAATGAACCGCTAATAAAATAACAAAAATATATTGTAAAACTACAAGCAAAAATATAATAATGACTAAAAGATATCACTTTTTTTCACATAAGAAGATTTACTGTTTACTGTTTCACAAGCTTAACTAGCAGACTTCCCAGCATGTAAGTAAGTAAGTAAGTAAGCTTTATTTATATAACACCTTTCATAGATAAAATCACAGTGCTTCACAAAGTCAACAAATACAAAAGCAGAACAAACAAAATAACAATATAACAGAAACCAAATAACATAAAAATAAAATATCAGGCATAAACATGTTTAAAACCAAAACTAAAAATCAACTAAAGGCCTGTCTAAAAATGTGCGTCTTCAACTGCTTCTTTAAAACCATCGACAGATTCGGCCATACATAAAGACAGGGGCAACGCATTCCACAGTCTAGGATCCATAACCTGAAAGGACAGGTCCCCCCCTAGTCTTCAAACGGGTTTTGGGGACCATCAAGATGGCCTGAGTTGAGGAACGGAGAACACGCTTTGGAAAGTATGGGGTCAATAGATCAGCAATATACTGAGGAGCCTGACCATGAAGTGCTCTAAATGTTAGCACTAAAATTTTAAAATCAATCCTAAACTTAACTGGTAACCATGTAGAAACACATGTAGAAATAAAAGCATGAACAATCATTTCCAAATCAACCTTTGATAACATTTTCCTTAATTTAGAGATGTTTCTCAGGTGATAAAAACAATTCTTAACCACCTGTCTTATGTGGCAATCAAGAGACATAGACTGGTCAAACACAACGCCAAGGTTTCTGAGGCTCGACTGGACAGAGGAGCCCAATGAACCCAGGCGCTGTCTGACTGATGAAATCTTGTTATCCGGCGCAATAATGGATTTATGTGCAGATAATTATTGTTAAACCAGTTCTTGATGGATGACAAGCACTCTAACAATATGGCCAAAAAATGAAACTGAGTCATTAAAAGAGCAATAAATTTGAACATCATCAGCGTAAAGATGATAAGACGCCTTCTTAAAGCGTCGAATTATCTGATCAAGAGGATATATATATAATAAAAATAAAATTGGACGCAAGACTGACCCCTGTGGGACAACACATGACAAACCAGCCACATCAGACATGACATTATTTATAGCTACATTGAAAGTTCGATCGCTAAGATAGGAACAAAACCACTGGAGGACAGATCCAGAGAACCCTAATTCAAACTGAAGCTGATCCATCAAGATTCCATGATCAACGGTGTCAAAAGCACATGTTAAATCTAATGCATGCATACACTGTTTGATAGTTAAACTCCTCTTTTTTCCAATTTGAAGAACTCATTCATGGTGAAAAATAACTGTCTGTAATACACATTAAATTAAGTGTAGGTTGATATGTTTCATGATATAAAAAAAACACACAATAAAGGTTAGCAGTGAATTCAGCATCAACCCCTGAACACTAAGTACTGAACAAAGCCACTAGAAGCAGCCTTGGAAATACACAGGATTTCATGTAAATGTAAAGAACAACTGTTTAACTAATGGGAAATTACTGTATTTATTAATTTATCTAGGACATGTTTATTTTCTGTAATTTACGATAGTTTTTGGTGCCCAAGCTGCCGTTTTATTACCTCTTTTTTTGTTGTTTGTTTGTTTACGGTGTGGGAACAGAGGACTCATTGGTTATTCAGAACAGGCTCTTCTATTAACCTGAGTGATAATCTGTTTCCTCACAGAAACACAAACAGATAGTGAAGAGGCAGAGGTGCACAGGACATCATCAGTGTTTTACTGTTGTTCGGGTTCACTATATTATGACTATTTGCAGCTCAAACACAGGCTTGCAGTGGATGTTTACTTCTTTTCTTTGTTTTGACATTTGTATGAACCTAACAGGTCATTTAAGATGTAAATGGATGTCTTTAATGAGTCCTGTGCTCATCTTCTGGGTCTGTGATGTCTCCGAGCAGCAAAGCAGCCCTACTGCATTTTTCCCAAACTGAACACACTGTCATCACTGAATGATGCAGCAGCAGACCCTCAGCAGTCAATGACAGTGTCTGAATTTATATAATACAGCTGGAGGAGCTCAAGCACCAAGACTCTTGTTCTCTTCATGCCCAAATTTGTGGATACAACTGTTGATCTTTTTTCCATTTTTAGTTAGTTACTGTCTGCCTTTGAAAGCATCATGTTTTTAAACTGTGCTCATAGACACACAGTCTACTCCAATGCTGCACGGCCTGTTGACCTTGGAAGGTCTTTCAGTTTTGAAGAAGCCACATGACCATCTTCCCATCCTACTTATTCTCATTGTTGTTCTTGATCCCTAAGAACTTGTGTCCCAAAGGAGCAAGAAAGTCATCATCATCATCATCATCAACACTGAAGTGATCTTCTCATACTCAGCCATAAAAACCTGGAAGAGAAAACAGTTTATTCAGGGTGCAGAGCAACAAGAGGTGGTTGAATTTTCTGTCTCTGATTCCCATCAACTCAGACCAAGGTCATTGTTTTGATCTTTTGAAGTTTACTGCTGATCCAGGAGCTGCCGCTGCCTCCTTATTGTCTTGAACAGCATGACCAAATCATTAGCACACAAGAAGCATTTGATCTGGTGTCCTCTGTCAGTTTTGTTAATTCTTTTGGATAAAAACTGTGTAGTGGAGGGCACAGCTGCAACCCATGACAGTGATTCATGAGAAGAGGCTTGGTTTTCACCACAGGGATGTATCATTTTTGTATATTGTTTGCATAATTTGGTGCTTTTCCCCCTCATTCTACTGTCTAGAAAATTTGCATTTGCTATGTTCATAGCTAACTGAGGGGAACAAAGCAGGGGAGTAGAAGCCCAGGTGACAGGGAAAGTAGCCCACACTCTGAGCTGTAGCTGAATACCTCACGTGCTGCTGTCACTCACTCGCATTGTGCCTCACTCACACACAGCAATACAACCATCTCCTCCCTGTCCTTCAGCTGTATAGTCGTCATGACAACAGAAAGGCTAATCTCCAGTGGACAGAGCGAGAGAGAGAAAGTGCTTCCATATAAACATGCTTCTGAGATCAAGGAGTAAGTGTGTGTTTACTAAAGAGATGCAGTGTGTGTGTGTTTCATATTTTCTCTTTACACAAGCTATCATTATACAGAATGCACCTTGTAAAATTAGTTTATATATGATAAATTCTTCTTCTCTTTTTCACTTTCATTATTTCCATTCATCTGCTAATTCCTAAATCCACCTTTACCTCCTGTTTTTGAGCACTGCTTCTCTTTGACCTCCAAATCCATCTCTCTCCTTCAGTTTTCCTTCCCTTGACCTTCAACATTCTCACACATTCCTTTTTTGATTCCTCTTTGTGACATCGGTCTCCTTAACCCTCCACAGCTTGTCCCTTCTTTTTTTCTTTTAACCTTTATCCATCTGAAATGTGTCTTTTTTCCATTTTTTGTTTCTGAATACTCTTTTCATCTCTCCAACAATTTTTCTAAATCATCTGCTCATCCTCTCTGATTCAACCTGAATCATCTTTTCTTTCTCTCTTTCACGCACACACTCCTTTCATCCCTCTTCTAATTTCTAAATCCATCCCTCTCTCTTTATCTGCCCCTCAGCTTTCCAGCTCCTTCCATTTTTACCCCCTCCTCTCTCTTTCTCTCTCAAACACACACATGCACATACAATCCACCTCTGATTTTCACATTCTTAAATTTCTTCCTCTCTGTCTCCCTGTTTGCCTATAGCAAGGATCATGTACACCCATGCACACATATGTTACAGCTGATTAGGCTGGCAGAGCCATAGGCAGTGAACCAAAAGGAGGATAGATGAGAGGATAGATGGAGAGGGAGAAGCTAAGAAGGAGGGGGAATACTGAGAGAAGGGGTAGGTGGAAAGAAGGCTCATGACTGATGGATATGACTAAATGAAACCTTGCTTTCCTTCCCTCTTCTTGCTGGAGGAAACTATAGCAGTTTCACT